TATATATATATATATATATATGATTTTCCTCCCTGCTGCTCAGCGTTTGTTTGATGGTTACCAAACGCTGTATGTTCAACATTTAAAAATCCTCAATAAAAATACTCACTTTTTCGTCAATGCAATTACGTACAAGATACAGAACAGGAGTCCTCATAAATCCACACCATTATGAGAGCAGTTTGTAATTTTACAATTCTATTTTGGGGGATTTACATTAGGATAGTAGTATACACACACAGAAGACACAAAAGCCAGTTGTTTTCCCATGTGATACAATCACATTTCAAGTTTATCACCTGCTTAATTATTCAGGCATAACCAGTGGTGAAATGCTTACCAGTGTCCAAACAATACAACATTCCCCACAAAACAGTATCCACATCCACATCACCCAGTGCAATTCAATGTGTTTGTGTGCACATGAAATGGTGATATTGTTTCACTGATGACAGCAATGAAGAGTCTGTTGTTGGGGTGGCTTGGGTATTTTACGGCCTCCTTGGTCTGCAGAGCTTGGTGCAGATGTCCTAGTAGTGCTTTTAGTGGTCCGCTCAGGATGCTCACCACAGTTTGTAAGTATCCTGAGGAGGCACTTGCATGTAAAAGTACATACCCAATAAAAATGTTTAATGTGAGGAAAAAGTACTTGGAGGAAACCCACACAGGAATGGGGAGAGTGTGAAAACACAGGAAAATCAGAGCCCAGATTCAAACCCACAGCATCTGTACGGCGGCTGTGCTTACAAATCGGCCACCGAGCCAATGTATATATACATTTAAGAGGGGTTTAATGATCCACCCAATTATATTCAGGATTTTCAATGCACAATATTCCGCACGAGACGGTTCCCACACAGAACATATTCAGTAAGCGACAAAAAGTCTTCAGTGTCACTCTACACGCCATCCTGTAAACAAATGCAGTGCAGCTCAGCCTCTGAATAGCAGATGTCATGGGAAGTGATGTACTTTTGGCTGCTTAGTATTTCAAATGGGTTAACACATTTAAAATAGCATCACACAAATAGGAATATGAATGCAAGATGGGTTGAAAAAAAACAGCACCACGTAAAACACGACTTTTAACAACCACTCCCAGGCCCTTCCGATTGATCGATCATCCATCCATCCATCCATCCATATACACATCCATCCATCCTCTGAATCACTTCTCCTTATGAGGGTTGTGAGCGTGCTAGAGCTTACCCTTGCTTGCTGTCCTCGGGCAGTAGGTGGTGTACTCCCTGAACTTGTTGCCAATCGCGGGGCGATCGATCATCAAAGCAATAACAAATGCTCTGATTTGTGTTTATATTGTGGCATAATTCAGACTAGCATATTTACTCTTGCACAACTTTTTATGAGTGCCCATCGGCTACTGTGCAGGTGTCATCTACGTATTTATGTCCTGGTGTCGTTGCTTTAGTTTGCGATCAAAGATGGCCGCATTCACGCCACAGATCGTGCAGGCAGCACTTTTAAAACTTTTGCATCATTGTCTTGCCAAGTTCTAGTAGATGCATGAAGTATGTGACAACTGAGTTGCTGCAATGTACTTCCCTCCAGCCATTTTCCATTTACTGACCCATTTTTTGAGTCAGAGTCTGTCTCCACTGATTTTGGGAAACCACTAATCCCACATTTTCACCTCTGGACAAATTGTATGAAGTGAAACTAACATGCATGATTTTGGAAACCAGAGTAAATTCTACACAGAAATGTCAGAGGTGAGACAGAGCTCTGAGGCAGAAACAGTAACTAAATGCTCTACAATGCTGCACAGTCATTTTCTAGTATGTTGACATTATTGGTTTCGAGAAAGCAACCGTCTGTGTAACCTTAAAAAGAGCAACACCCAATAACGGGGATCAACCTCAAAGGGTGCCACACAAAGCAGGGTTGTTCAATCATTAACCTTCTCCACACAAGTCATTTTGTCCAAGTGGAAAATATCTTTGCGGACTAAGTGTGTATTTCTGATGTCTTCAATTCCATGTTGACACTCCTGCTGATAGCTATCAAGTGGATGCGTGATTTTTTTTTTCTTCTCTTTGATCACGAGCAAAAGAACATCAAACACTTCAGTGACTCTGTATTACATTGAGGTCAAACAAATCATGTGTTTGACATCTTTAATTAGGTTTATTTCACCCCATGATAGAAATATTGTCTTCGTCTTAGTTGTCTCTAAGGGGTTTATTATTTTGCTTGTGTAAAGCAATGGTTCTAAACATTCCAAATGCGCCACACTTCTCACTAAACATAGAGCAAGTGTGCCCAACCTTTTTTGACCAAAGATCTACTTTTCGATCAACCAACCTCCCGCGATCGACCCGTTTGTTACCACACACACACGCATACGCATGCCCTTTCACATGCACGACCCGATGAGCAAAAGCCATAGGGGCCCCTAAGATGAACAAAACAGAAAAATAGACACAAAAGTTGGTGAGTTTGTGAAAAACAAATCACTGCCTCCATTAGTAGAGACCTGATGCGGAGGCATGGGACGCAGCGAGGTCACCATCGTAGCTCACGTGTACCGTTTTAAAATGCTTCTCTCTGCCCTCCAGATTCCCACTCTTTGCCCGTGCCTCCGGTGAATTGTACATTAAACAAACTTTGAATGAGAATAATAATAACAATAAGAGATGTAGCGCAACAGCTCTGATCGCAAGCTGCAAAGTAAACTGCTGTCTCACCAGTATCAATTGCAACATCCATCCCAACACAGTTGATCACTTTGACAAAATTTGGAGCATTGTCTGTTTGTAGCATTTGACAATAATTTTGCCAACACATCGTGCGTATGTACTCCTTTAATTCACTGGCATGACGGAACTGCAGTGTCTCTTGGAAACATCAGTTTTGTTTAGCCAGTGGAAAGTGGTGCACATAAATGCTTTTGTTCACAACTGAGGAGCAAGCCACTGTTTAGCATCGACATCTAAGAGTTCAGTCTTAAGTTCACTTATATTTTCTTTATGTTCTTGTTTAGCAAGGTCTGCACTTTTTTTCGTGATGATATCTTTTTCGATGGCTGCAATCTCTTAATTTTATGAAAAGGGGAGACCGGCATGGTGGACAGCTGGTTGACGTATTCTCACGTTGCAGAAGTCATAGTTTCAAATCCAGGTTCTGGCCTACCTGTGTAGAGTTTGCAACAATTTTGAACATGTTCAAAATTTCATTGCACCAAGAAAAAACCCCCACTAAAACTGTTGGCAAACTTTAGGTGAACGTTTTGCGAACATTTTTGACCTTGAATAATCCGTGATTGAAACGACACATTAAGTGGGATGAACAACGACAGTTTTACATTGTTACCAGTTAGCCACTTAACTATGGGAAGCTTGATTGGCTAACTAGTTTGAGAGCAGGTGAGGACTCGACTGCAGTGTCTAGCTCGTGTATTAAAAAAAAAAAAAATCATCCTTCAAATAATCCCCATTTCTAATAAATGTGGCAATAATCTAATTGCATGTTTTGTTTTAATATCCTGAACATGTAACTATATGTAGTTCGTTTCATAGATGTGCTTGCTTTGATTGTGCCTTTACAACCTAAAGAAATTATTGACACCTGGTTCGTCAAGCCTTGGTTGGTTGTCTGTCCTCAAGTACGGTGGTTTCTGAAGGTTTTTTTTTTTTTAGCAGATTACTTTACTCATGTTGCGCTGACAGTTTTTGCAAAAAAAGTGATTATTTGCCAATTTCCCCTCAACTAACAATGATGGTACATTAATATTAATACCTGTAATCTAAATACATGTTAAAATTGAATGAACATTTATATATTTTAGTAAACAACGAACCGAGCAGCACGTAATTGTGGGCTTTGCCGCTGGCTCCAGCTGGGAGTGTCGATAGAACCCACCTCGAAGAGCCAAAGTCCCGCCTCACAAGTGACTCTGCCCCGGCCGGGGCTTGAGAGTATAAAATGAAGGAACGTGGCTGTAAACAGGAGGCATTACTGACTTGGAGTTCGCTTTCAAACTCATCGAAACAGTGTAAAACTGGTCAAATGCGCTAATCGCTGCACGCACAGTGAGGCGACCGGTTTGCTCTGATTCCAAACACCGAGCTTTCACCCGGGCTGCACGGAGCGAGCTCACCATGGCTGGGGACGGCACCGACCAGCGGGCCCTGCAGTATGAACAAACTCTGGTAGGTTGCAGTGCTGTCACCTTAACTTGATTTCGCTTGTCACACACACGAATGTCACTTATGACACACTTTTGAGTTAAGCCGAACTTCACCGAACACACCGTCGACTCCAGCGAGTGGCATCACCATTGATTCAATGCGTTTTAAAGCCCGTTTAAAGTAGCGACATGAAAAGTGAAGTAGTTCTATGCGGTTCGCCACCGGCGTATGCATGCATGTCGCTGCTGATGAAAATGAATGACCAAAATGAAGATACAACAAAACTGAGCTGCAGTACTTTGTCATAGGCCATTGTGTCAACAGTTAAATTTGACACACGAGTCTTCAGTATAGACTAAATAATAAACACGAACACAACTAGAGTAACGATGCAGGTAGCAAGCTAAAGGCAAAACATCTGGATTTGACTCCTTCACATCTATTGATAAATGAGTCTTATCAAATGTACCTTTGCTAAAGAGACAAAATCCAAATTCGCCAACTCTTACAAACGTTAATGTCTAGAATAATCAATACTCATCACATTTGCCTTGTTTAAACTGTTTGGTTGGTAGGTACAAAAGTTACTGTCTCAAGAGCCTTTTTTTCAACAGAAGTATAATGTAGGTGTATCGTATATGTTGTGCATGTGGTTTTTTTTTTTTGTTTTACAAAGAAAACATTTATTGTCATAAATTATTTTCACTGTTTAGTTTAAAATACTGGTATCTTATTTTTTTTTCCTCTATGGAAGGGGTGTCAAACTCATTTTTGTCACGGACCACATTTTAGTTACCGTTTCACTTGGAGGGCTGTTATGACTGAATCCATATAAAGAAGTCAAGAATAACTGTTGATTTAACTAATGTTTAACTTACTATCATGAGGGGTTTGGTAACAAGAAAATGCTTAATGTTTGATCTGCTTTTGCAGGCCACATAAAATGAGGTGGTGGGCCAGATCTGGCCCTGGGGCCTTTAGTTTGACACCCGTGCTCTATGTGCTGCGGTGTTGCATGCATATTTTGCATCAGTCGTTTTTTTAAATGTTATTTACGGAACTTTGACAAAATTTGATTTACGGACCGGTTTATCATGTGACTTTTTTACATTTCACCTGCGACCTTTGTGGTGTCACTTAAAATATAGTGAGTGATTGGTCCCTCAGAATGATAGTGAGTGTAGTTTGAGTCCAATCCATTATGTGCCTGCGTGCACTTGCATGTAAATGCCTCCTAGAGCTTTTACTGACAAAACCTCTGTCAAGCTCGAAGAATTCTGAATGCGCTCGTTTTATGGGCCAACAGAACCCCTTCAGCAACAGAAGCCAATCCTTTAATGAAGAGACACCACTGTGATACTTCGATGGCCACTGTTTCCTTTTTCTTTAAGAACTTGCATTGCTGAAAGCCCCATTAAAATACACACACACACACACACACACACACACACACACAAACGCTCACACTGTGTGTCATTTAATCTGTGCATGTGTGTTTGTGCGATTACACAATGTGCTACCTGCTGATTCAGCACTGGACGCTCAGTCTTCCTGGTGGGGTCTCATGCTCCGCCCAGAGCAACGTGCACAAGCAGCTTTTGCGCAAGAAAAGTCTTCCTGCACCTCCTCTCTGTTTCATGTCCATCACCCAGTTGAAAATTTGAGTATAAACAAAGCATCCAAACATAAACAAATAACTCCACTGCCAGAATAGCCTCTGATAGTATAAATGGGTTCTCTCTTGGCCTGACATCAGTTCCTTGTGGGTTGTAGTTACATTGTTTCTTTGTATGAAACTGGCAGTTGTTGATTTGTTGTGGGCAGCTTAGTCAAAGAATCCACTGTGCTTAGACTGTGAGAATTGCTGCCTACTGAGACGTTTGTATTGATAATTTGTTGAAGACTGAAGATAGAGTTAGTACTTGCATGCGGGTGGTCTTTGTGTTGCGGCAAGTCATTTTTGAAAATTATTTAGAGGTTGTGGTAGACCCGTTATTTACCCCAAATCCTCAAGTCTCTGTTGAACGAAGCCATTGTGGACTATAGTATATTTTCTGGGCCATTTTTTGATCAAGTATGGCGTAGTGTACAAAGCAAAGTCCAAAAAGGCATGATTCAAAGACTTTTGTGTTGATGATTATGTCAATCCCAATCAAACACCTTTGGGAAGAACTAGAACTGAAAATGAAAGCCAGCCTTCTTTCCCTTCCAATATCAGTGTCCTTTAATTGTTGAATGAAGAAAAAAAAAATCTTTGGAGATTCCCTACAAAATCTTGTAAAATGTCTTTCCAAAAGAGCGCAAGCTATTCTTGCTACAAAGTGGGTACATTTTATATCATTTTGAATTGTTCATTGCAGAATCGCCAGTTGTCCTAATTGGGTACATTTTATTTCATTTTGAATTGTGAATAGCAGAATGGCCAGGTGTCCTAATAGTTTTGCCTTGTAGTGTGTCTGTCGTGAACATAACAGACAGTGTGCATTGTGCCTTGCATGTTGCATCCGAGTAAACAAGCTTACAGCTTACTAATGCTGCTTACTAATGCTGCTGAACCAAAGAATTTGGTATACATTGTCAAGACTTGATGAAAACAGTCTTGTGCTATAAGTTTCCAAATGCCTTCAAGGAATGTCTTCATTTTTTTTTCCTTCTTTTTTTAGGCGCCGTGCTTTTGGTTGAGTAAATGGAATAGTGTTGCTGAATGAACGCCTCACTTGTTCTGCTGGGTTCTCATTTCGAGATAATATTTTGAGCAAACAAATGCAGTTTCAGTTTTTATCAGATGACAAAAAAATGATCAACGTTGTTAGACAAAGATGTCTTTTCAAAACAACGTGAGCAGTGAGCAATACACACAAACAGCAGTTAAAAATAAAACCACAGCCAGTAAAAGCAAGTAGATAAATGAACGCTCACACAGCGGTTGCAGCTTGCCCCATTTTGAAAATTTGATGTGTCATAAAGTGGACAAGGCGGCACTGGACAGCATGTCGGCCTCACACTGCAGAGTTGCAGGGTTCGATTCTGGCTCCGGCCTCCCTGTTTGGCGTTTGCATATTCCCCCCGTGCCTGCGTGGGTTTTCTCCGGGTACTCTGGTTTCCTCCTACATTCCAAAAACATGTGTGGAGGGTTAATGAAACACACTAATTTGTCACTGGGTGTGATTGTGAGCGTGAATGGTTGTTTGTCTCTGTGTTCCCTGCGATTGGTTGGTAACCAGTTCAGGGGTACCCCACCTACTGCCCGAAGACAGCTGGGATAGGCTCCAGCATGCCCGCACCCCTTCGAAGCATAAGCGGATTAGAAAATGGATGGATGGATGGATGGATAAACTGGCCAACTCTTGGTTTGCATAAACCCCTAACTGCGCATTGATACTTTACAAATTGGACAGCATGGAAAAAAAAAAGTGACAATCTCATTTTAGATGGAACGTAAAGGAGGCTCGCGTTGATGTGTGTCGTTCAGCGTCGAGGCTTGGCATGAGATAAAAGGTTCTGGCCTTGAAGCACTTTGACATTATACAATGGCTGGGAATCACATTTCCTCGTCAATCATTAATACAATATATCAACAGCGTGTAACCTCCCGCTGCTCAAAAAATACTGATGTGCAGTGGAGGACTGTTTTGTCTATGAACATCATAGCCTTAATTACTGAAACAACATTTTTAAATGGTCCCACTTCCTCTTGGCCTTCCTTGTCACAGTTTGTATTAAAGGTTAAGATGGACACTGCAGACAAGCATAAGTGTAAGGTTCGGTTGTTGGTCCATGGTTATTCTTATTTTAGGACTCTGCCCAAAACTCTTAAAAATGAGCGGCGAATGGCCCACAGGCTGGATTTAGGACACCACCACTGATTTACATGGTCTGCATTCTGACCAGCGGGTTGGTTGTGACAAGGTAGTATTCGATTAAATTGCATATTGGTGGAGATTTGATGTGGTTGTGGATGTGTTGGAGCCATGTCCAAACGAAAACTAGATGGTTTGGTCAAGTACTGATCGGACACTCAGCATTCTTTTATAAACTATATGGTAAATGTGTCACAATTTGTCATGTTTTTTGTTGGTCAATGTACTGTACTCAGTTTGGTTTTGTTGTGTCTCATATCCCTGGGCCACATTAAAATTCAGTAAACCAATGAGGTGGTATCACACCTACCAATGACCAATTTGATCCAATCAGCCCTCACCAAAATTCTGTTTGTGTAGGACCATACTACTAACAGCTGAGGCAATGCAGCTTTATTTACAATTCATATACAGGGTAACTCAACGTTCTACACAGGGTTACAAAACAACATTTTAAGGCAAAATACAACATTTAAAGGAAAAAGAATGTCAGACGTGGGAAAAAAAACCCCAGAAGAACTGTTTGATGCTCTTTTGAGGGAGTCCGGTCAGAAAACATCTACAATAAAACATCTGCTGGAGGTAAAAACACGGAGCTTCTCTTGGCCTGTTTCGAGCATGCAATTTTTCAATCCTGATATGTTTTTCAGCTGGTAAAAGGCTGTTTTAGTAATTGATTTGATATGATATGCTGAAAGTCCTGTCCGAATCTATCAGCACCCCAAGTCAGTCATGTAACCACTACCTTTAATGCCTTTCTTGTCACATGCCCTTCTGACTTAGCAAATCTTGAAACTGTGACATGCTATTTTAACGTATTTTTATTGTTATTATATTTTTTAATGATCATTTTTAACTCATACCTATTTCTTAAAAAAAACAGTTCTGATCTCTGCATCACTTTATTGTTAAACTAAACAAGTCAAATAAAAATATGCAGCAAAGAACAATGAAAAATTAATCATTAATACAGTGTGTGTGTGTGTGTGTGTGTGTGTGTGTGTGTGTGCGCGCGCTGAGTCATTTGTCTTAAAGTGACTCAAGGGCATCTGTTGTTACTGTTGTTGACCTTGCTTTGGAAATTTTATTAATATGTCCTCTGTCAGTTTGCCATACCTTATTGGTTTTCTTTTTTTTATTTATCCATTGATTATATTGATT